GCAATCTCAAACCTCACTCAACCCTTGAGGTTTCAGCATACAGCTATAATCATTCAACGCGTCTATGTGTTCGGCAATCTAATACAATACTCAACCTGTGAGGTTTCTGTAAACAGCTATCCTCACTCCGCTCGTCCATGTGTCACGCGTCTTTGGTAGCGCATACTATGGGGGCTGTATTTGGGGTGGCGTGTTTTACAGCGCTTTGCCAACAGCGCCAACCCACTCAAGTCTAGATTGCGGGGGGGGGGGCTTGTTTTACAACGTCATTGCCAAGCGACGAAAACCCAACCCCGATGGCAAACACCGGGGGGGTAGGCCGGGCCGCTGGGGGAGGGAGTGTTTCAAATTCAAACGGTCTGCCGGTCCACACCACAGCAGCAGTGCCTTCTCCCCAGCAGGCAACACTCTTCTACTCCTGCCCGGCCGCTCCCTGCTGCCGCCGACGCTCGTGCGTAGCCGACTTTAATGTACAGCTGCTCGGGTAGCTGCTGTTCCTCTGCTTGCAATTCTTCGGCACGAGCTTGCTTTCTACTCTCCTTGATGCCATGAGCTCTATGCCGCAGCCCTCCTTCGACCCGGAGACCTTCCTCGGTGATATCTTCGGTGATTACCGCTACGACGCCTCTATCGGAGAACTTAGCCTGTAAGGGTGCCTTCCTCTTATGCTGGAAACGCCCGGCGTGGGTCGAGGTTGAGCTCACGACGGGCAAGGGGAAGGACAACACCGTCAAAATACAGACCTCCTTCGAGGATAAAAAATGGGTGCTCTGCTGTAGGGGGGTAGCGGTCAGCGGCGCCTACATCGTTAAGCAGTGGCCTTTCATGGTCGCTGCTTGTATCACCGTTGACAGAGTGCAAAGGGTAGGTTTCGAAAGGGCGACCGTGTGGATTCTTTCTAGAGGGTTCTTCGCCCAGGGGCAGGGGTACGCAGCCGTCTCCAGGGGGAAAACTCTCGGCGGCCTATTCCTCGTGTTACCAGACGGTGTCTTGCAGGTCAGAGAGTTAGCGAGGGAGTTCCTACAGGAGGCTTTCCAACCGCCCATTGATGCCATCAACGCTCTCGCCGACATGCGACAAAAAGCACGGCGGCAGCTGCGGTTGACGTGAGGGGTAGGGGAGTTAGTTGCGTACGCTACTCTGTGGTATGAAAGACAGACGTACAATGCCCCAGGCGAGTGGGCGGGTGTATGGCCTGGAGTGTTGTGCGTGTGTGTTTTCGTCCTATTTATTATGGCGACAGTCCCCCCATTTTTCGTGGTGAGACGTGTACTACACTATTCAGCGTATGTGGAGTACTACACTTTTCAGTGTATTTTTTCGTACAACTACAACCGTCCAGGGTCACACTGTACCACGGTTCGGGTGGGGCAAGCCGTATCGAGAAGGAGTATGCACGTACTTGCTGAGCGTTCGAACGATTGATAATCCTCTTGTCCCATAGAGCCGAGTGTCTACGAACGAAGAGAGGCACACCAGTGCACAAAGTGATTTCCTTGAGAGGGGGGGGGACATCACATTGCCTGCGCATGAACTGCCTTTTGAGTACGTGCAGGTCTATCCGCACTGTGGCCGCACACTGCACCACGCCCGCAACCCCGTTGAGTTCCTTCGTGCAAAGCGAGTCACATGGCACTGCGACCGCACACTTGCAATACGCCCGAAACCCCGTGAAGAAGTGCCTTCGAGCGAAGCGAGTCGACCCGCATTGGGACCGCACACTGCACCCCGCCCGAAATCCCGTCAAGTGCCTTCGAGCAAAGCGAGTTACGATGCCACACTCGCATTCACTCCACACCGACTACATCAACAACACACCAGTCTATGCCTTTTGTGAAACGGGTACGGGGCAGCGAAAGGGTCGGATGCTCTTTCCGGTTGTCGGGCGCTGCTGTCAGTCAATCTTAATCTTGCTGTAGGATAAAACCTCCTGTTTTACTGTCATACTCTGTAGATGATCCATCGCAGGTTTTGGCAACCACAATGGTGTTGGCAGGGGCTTCGCTGTGTAGAGCAGTGCTCATCATTTTGCCGATTTTGAACACCAGAATCTTCACTCCTTCCTTCGGTTGGGCTCTCTCCCTCGTCTGCGCACTGTTTGTTTTCTTCTCCATTCCGTCTCTCGTCTTTTTTTACTTTCGCGCAGGGTTTGGTGTTGTTGTGGGTGCAGTTGACCATCAGGCTCGTCCCGAAGGAGCTGCACGACATCAACAAGGCGATTTCGCCTCACCGCAAGGAGGACAACTCGCTAGACGAGCGAGCAACGGAGTTGGGGGGCGGAAGTCGGGATAAATTGGTGTGTGCCTGTTGTGTCTTGATTGTTTCCATCGACCACGCCGCAAGACCTGTAGACTGGCGCGCGCCAGAACATATGGGACGAATACACGCACACACTTGACTTGTTTTCATTTTGTCAGCCGGTTAGCGCGGTCGATGCTAATATAAAACACACACACAAACACACACACCGCTAACCGACTGGCCAATGAAAGGACGTCGCGTTATCTAGCCGACTGGCCGATGAACTCGGTCTTAGTGCAGCTAGCAACGAAAAAACGCTGTAGGTGGGAGGGGGAGGGGGAGGAGGGGGGGCTGCTCGCGCGCGCATGAGGTCTGTGTGTGTGTGTTTTGCAAGAGCCACCTGACAAGCGGCTGCTGGTGTCACACCTGCTGCTGACTTCCCCAAGCGTGGCATTGAGTACCCCCCCCCTCTTCGCGCTCCCTAATTAACCGTAACCGTAAACGGACAAGCCTGACACGCCAGTGCAAAGGAGAAGACCGCGACCGGACAAGAACCGGCCGAGGGAGCAGACAAGCATGGACACGATTGTGTACAACATGCGGTCGTTTCTCGACGAGCTGGACAGGGTGTACAAAGCTATCGAGAACCCGGTGAGGGGAGGGACTTTGTCTTGTACTACGGCGTAATTTGTTTTTTTTGGGTGCGACGACCCTTGACATGAGGTGCGAGGTTGTTGGTCTCTTTTTTTTTTGGGTTCTGCGTGTTGCAGAGCTACCCTACTGGACGAACGGCGGTGTAGCTCTTGTATATTTTTTGCTCTTTATAGCCCTGGTACCATGGTGGTTTGAGCTGACTCGGGCCTGTGTTTCCGCTGTGATTTTCGCTGTTGTTGTTGCTGCGGTACGTGTTGTCGAGACTCGGCTAATTTTTGCAGCGGCGTTCGTGTTTGCGTGCGTGCGTGCTTCCCTTGAATAGTATCGACCGCGCTGACCGGCTGACCAATGAATGAACGTTAGCCTTCGCGCGTTTGTGTTCATGATTTTCTCCTTCTGGTGGTGTACGCTGTTTAAGTTCAATTCGCATCCTGCCTCCCATGGGTGGACGTTTTTCTGCTCCTGCGATGTTTGTTGGTGATTCCACCAGGACCCGCAAAAGGTTTGGGATCTGTACAAGGCTGCCACAGACAGGTGGCTGCTTCCAATGGATAGGTGAGCGATGTGCTACTGTAGTTATGCGTTTTTCTCCCACGCCCCGTGCAGTTAATCGTCTTGCGGCAACGCGTTGCGCGGGATTCGATTCGTGTGCATGGTACCAACACGCTGCTTGCGCCTTGTCGTAGGGCTGCTCTGCTTTATGCCTGAAGAAATGGAAGTAATTTTTTTGGAAAGTCTGTCACTACGCCTTCGAGAGGTGGGGCTGGTGTGCGGAGGTTTCATTATGAAAACGGCCCTGCTATTGTAGCTGTTGACGTTAGACGAGATGTCCTTGGCGTCAATTTAGACTGTAGTCTACACGGAGGGGTGGTTTTGAGCGGCAGAGATGGACCGTTCCAGGTCTTCATGGGTGATCTGTGCTGCGATTTTGAGGATCGATTGGGACGAGGAGGGAAGCAAGCGAGCATTTTGCAACGGGTCTGTCTGTGCGGCGTTGTGATTGTCTTCTTTGCTTCGCGGGATGCCACTCACTCCCGCGCTTCGCTGTGGGTCCAAGCGAGCTGAGCCAGCCAGCCAGCCACGTCGATGTGGTCGATTGAGTCGTGGACACAACCCAGCTTGTATTGTGCCTTCCGGACACCGGCACATACACGAATACCCAGGACAAATCTTGACGCGGACCAAGGCGATCCGCGGCTAGGAACACCAGAGCAGCCGCCCGTTAGCACTCGTGTGCCCGCTTTAGACTTTAGTACTGGTGCACGTCAAGATTTGTTCTGGGTATTCGTGGTAGGCGTACAACAGCTCACGGCACATGCTCGAATCGTTCTCTTTCGTTTTGCCGGTACAAGGAGCGCAACCTTCTGTTCATACCCTCCCCCTCCTCCTCCTCCTCCTCCTGGTCTATTTCGGAGCCACCGGAGGGAAAGCTCGTTTTCAAGGCACGACTTAGCCGTCCGTTACCACGTCATCCTCACGCTTCACCTCCCACGAGCGTACCTTCGGGACCCCGGTCTCGAAAGGTACGCTTATGATCAACGTGGGCTGAAACGCTTGAAGTCAACCAGTTCCCCCCCCCCCCCGGGCGCCACTCTTTCTGATGTGCCCCCCCACCCCCCCCCTCCAGAGCGAGCGAGGGGCAGAATTTGTTTGACATACGCGACGACAAGAGCATCTTCGTGAGCCTGGCTTCCTATCGAGACGAGAATTGCCCGACGACCCTCAAAGAGATGTACTCCAAGGCGGACCACCCGGAGCTCCTGTACATCGGCTTGGTGCAGCAGGTGTGATGGCCGTTTCTTCTTTTTTTTTTTCTTGTCTGTCGCTGCGGTTCGTTGTGGTCGTCGTCGTCGTTGTTGAACATTGTGCTTTTCGGGACATAAGAAGGCGCTTGTAGGCGTCGGCGACAGCAGCAAGCAGGAGAAGGTGGAGCGATTCGCCGGAGTGTTTCGTCACAAATGATGGATGGATGCAGATCGGACTCTCAAGGGGCGGTGCGTTCCACGGAATTATGGGGTAGCGACAGCAGTTGCCGGTGTCGATATCCCGAGGAGATTTCTTCGCTTTGCTTTGTTTTGCTTTGTTTTGCTTTGCTTTGCTTTGTGTTGCTTTGCTTTGTTTTGCTTTGCTTTGCTTTGCTCGGAAGAAACTTAAGGTTCCCACCCTCCAAAAGAGGCGAAGGCGTCGATAAACCGCCATTATCAAAATACGCAACATTCACCCCATTGTCAGCTATTACGACGAACACAAGCGTTTGCACGCATGCACGCGATCGGTGGTGTCTGAAACCCCCGCTCTGCTGTTGTTGATCCCGTCTGTGGCCGTTTCCTCCTCGCTTCCTCACGGTCTTCCTCCTCACGGCCTTGCTCCTCACGGCCTTCCTCCTCACGGCCTTCCCTGCCTCCCGCGCAGAACTGCGTCTCGGAATGCCGAACGGGAGTCTTGGAGGGGGGGGTAGTGGAGGACATGAAGCCTGATGTAAATTGCTACGAAGGTGAGAGATTGCCGTGGATTGTCGGCGGGGCCGGGGGGGGGATAGGTGAATCAAATCCCTGTAGGGTACGTGGCCTGCGCCTTCAGCCACTTCGGCCACGGATGGTGGACTTGCGTTGTAGATGAGTTGCACGTCCGTCTGCCTTTTCTGCCTTGTCTCTCGGCCTCTTTCTCCCTCTCTCTAGCTTCTTCATCTCTTTACTTTTTTTGTCTTGCCGTCACAGCGCTCACAGCACTTGTGCCGTTTGCTCCAACCCGTGGTCACACAGCAGGATTCCTCTCCGTAAGACCCCCTACCCACCCCTTCATCTTTGATTTTTAATGCGAGGAGAGTGCAGCACTCCCTTCCCTCTGTTTGCACACAAACTAGCGTTTTTCCACCCAGGCCAGGAACGTAAGCGAGAAAAAAAAAACAGTTTGCAACGGAACCTCGCTTTCGCCGGGTTCCGAACCCCTGACCCTGGACACTCGGAGGCCATCGAAGATGTCATAGACTAGCGCATTAGAGAACATGTAGTTGATGGGATCACTCTCGTTGTGCCTGTTTCTCGATGTCTCTCTCTCGCTTGCCATTGCAGAATTCTGCTCTACGGAGCTTGGGGCGCAGTTCTGCCAATCGGGCAACGTGCGAGATTTTTTCGTCCAGGAGGAGGAGGCGTTGGGGCCGGCGGTGGCGAGGTGAGGTGACAAGATTAGAGAGAATATAGTACCAGTACAAAATGAACAACCGGCTACGGAATGGGCTAAGTACAATAGCGGTCGAAAATAAGCATGGGTCTTGTGCACACACATTCGCGGTCGTTACCGAGTGTTGAACAACAGGCTACAGAGGGGCAACGTATGTATCGGTCGAGAATGATAGTAGGTACTCCCCCCATCCTCTGAAAAGACTTGAACCCATCCCCTTCGGCTGTGGTGCATGCCTTGCGGCGGCTCTTGCTGGTACAAAACCCTCATCTGATAGCACCCTACCCAACCTCAAGCTGACATGGTGATTGTGGGCTCAAGGTGGATTGGACAGGGGTACGCATTAGACTCGTGAGTCTCGTACCAATGGTCCAAGATATATGGTTTTCCCCGAAACATTTCCTGCAACAGAGCTGCATACTACAGAGTGACCAGACAGGTGCAGCTTGATTTGCCCACGTTTGGGAATCCTGCTTCTCTGCGAGTAGCAATGGAGATATTTTGTCCAAGTTATGGGATTTGAGCCTTTTGCCACCGAGGATTGTTTTCTTTACGTCGAAGACAGGATAATAAGTACCAGACAGCAACCGCTCTTTCTGCAATGATGACGTGGTGAGGATCAACAACGCTGTACACTAAAATAAGCAAGTAGTTTATTCACGGGCACGGACCGTGTGATGTGTTTTTGCATGCCCGCGTTGGTGTGAGTTGATGTTGTCCCTTTCTGTGCTGTTCATCCGTGGTAATGCTCCTGCTGCTCTGCTCCTGCTGCTGCTACTGCTACCTGCCTCTGCCACCGCCGCCTTTTCACGTCTCCCGGCTTTTCAGATACATGGCGTCGAAGCTCTGGATGGGCGAGACTTACTTCATGCAGATCGACGCGCACAGCCTGTTCGTACCTCATTGGGACACGACGCTCGTGAACGATATCCACAAGTGAGTGCCTTCCCGGCGTGATTAGGGGAAAGGATCGGCGGGAAGGAAAGGAGGAGCACAAAGTGGGAGTGGGGAGAGGAGACGCAAGGGCTACAACGTTTCAATTATTCGTAAAATATTGCTACAGGCACCTAAATTTTTCCTACTTTCGGCTGGAGAATTGGTTGCGCACACGAAGTTTTTTAGTGTTGATGCCCCTTTTCTTCCTGCGTGATTTTCATGCCGTGCCCAGCACCCCGTCGTATCCGATGTCGGTCCTGTCGCACTACCCCCCGAGCGTCGGCGCGAACTTCGAAGACAAACCGGGGTACCGAATATGCGGCGCCGAGTTCGCAAAGAGCAGCGTCGAGTACGACATTATTCGGCTCACGGCGGGTCTCCAGCAGGACAAGCAGATACCGGTCAGACCCTGGTGAGATGAGATGCATCATGGATGGCGGGTGCCGTGGGGTGGCGGATGCATGAGTGCATTTCTGGAGTGATGCCTTCGCTTTTCTTTTTTCCTTTTTACTGTTTTTTTTCTTCTGCCTCGTCGCGACTGGAAGGGCCAAGAACGAAAGATAAATGAGACGTGAAGAATGCACATGCGCATCTTATGTTAGGGGGATGAACCACGCATTGTTCGGTTCGGTTCCTGCCCCCCCTCTTGTGGAGTTGTGGTGTGCACGGCAACGGGTCAAAATTTTGAGTCGGCAAACCCAGTTGATCGCAACCACCCGACAAGAAGACGCAACAAGCAAATGAAAGACAAAAACCGAGCCTCCCTGCATCTCTCACCCGCTCGTGGCATCAGCGTGAGCTCGAGAAACCATCAATCAAAAACCAACAGGCCCAAGTTTCCAAGATTCCGACAGTCATGTATCACCCCCGCGCCCGACGATCTCGTCTTCTTCCTCATTCCAACGCCCCCCTCCCTCCGTCTCCTCACCGCCGTGCACGACAACCAAACCAAAAACCAATCGTCGCGGGACAAAAACAAATACGACGGCGGCGTGACATCACGACAGTCCCGCCCCCTTCATCGGCGCGGGCTTCTTCTTCGCGCACTCGAGCTTCTTGGCCGACGTGCCCTTCGACCCTTACGTGCCGTGGGTGTTCATGGGCGAGGAGATCCTGCAGAGCCTCCGAATGTGGACGTGGGGCTACGACATCTACTCGCCGACGAGGAACGTGCTGTCCCACCACTACGTGCGCAGACACACGCCCAAGTTCTGGGAGACGGTCAACAGGTATGTGCTATTTGTTGCGCACGTCGTGTGCGTTTTTACCGTGTTTGGGGCAATTGTTGTTCTTGCGGCGGACGTTCTTTGTTTTGCTCGATCTCTTGTATTTTGTCTGTGTATGCCCATCTGTCTGTCCGTCTGTCTTGTCTGTCGGCTGGCTAGTAACAGCGCCTCCCTTCTTCCGTTTCTGGGCAGGCTGTTCAAGAAGCCGACCATGCACAACGACCTCACTAGCATGGTCATCAATCGGGTCAAGAACATCGCCGGGTACCCGGAGTCGAGCGCCGAGATCCTGCTCCGGCCGACGCTGTTGGATAACCTCGACCTGTACGGGGACGGTGACGTCCGACCGATGGAGGTATGTAGGCATTCACGAGTGGGCGTTGTTGTTGTTCTTCTTCTTGTTTTGTCTATGTATTCTTTTGAGAAAAGAGGCAGGTGTTCATGAGTGGGTGTTGCTGTTGTTGTTGTTGCTGTTGTCGTCGCCGTCGTTGCGTTGTCGTTGTTGTTTTGTCTTTGCCTTCGTTTTATAGTAGAGGTAGGCGTTCATGAGTGGTTGCTGCTGCTGTTGATGTTTTGTTGTCTTCGTTTTGTGCATATAACCCGCAATGACTCGTTTGCCCAGGTAAACCTGAATATCGCGTGTTTTTAGAACCGGCGAGAAACTGTCCTCCATGATGGCACACGCACAAATGTAGGGTACACCACGTCTGCGCGTTATTTTCTTTTACCTCCTCCGGCCTTACCGTTCTTGCTGTTGGACGCCTCCATGGTAAGAGACAGACATGGCGGCGCTTAGGCGCACATGTGAGGGCTCGATCTGCTGCCTGCAGGCACCGCGTTGTTCTGTTGTATCCTCCACTGCTGTCCCTTTTCGCTGCTATTTTCAGCCCCCCACCCGCCTCCTGGTCCGGTGAGAACCCGGCGTGCTCCGTCCCGGCTTTGTAGGGATGCGAGGGCAATGGTCTAACGACTACGGCATGCACGACTATGAGTACCCCCCCCCCCCCCCCCCCCCCCCCCCCCCCCCCCCCCCCCCCCCCCCCCCCCCCCCCCCCCCCCCCCCCCCCCCCCCCCCCCCCCCCCCCCCCCCCCCCCCCCCCCCCCCCCCCCCCCCCCCCCCCCCCCCCCCCCCCCCCCCCCCCCCCCCCCCCCCCCGCCTCCATTACTGCTGTATTAACACATCGAGCCTGTCCGCCTCCCTGTGGGTCAACGTGTAGACTTAAACTCCAATATGAAGAAGGAAAGCTCTTGTCGTTGCCTAAGAGGGATCGCAAGGAAACACGCGTAACGCTGCGCGCGCTGTTGAAAGCATTACTTCAAACCACTACTAGGGGTTAAGCTCTCCACTTTTTCGACGACTTGCGCCTGCGTTGAATTGTTAGGAATGGGACACGAAACAATTTCCTCTCCGTGGCCCCTCCTGTTGTAGATGAGAGCACGGACCCCTTCCCAACCTCACCCGACCCATTTGCACGCCAGTCGCACCCAGCTTACCCTCTACATTATCTTGTTGTTGTTGTTGTCTCCGTACCCTGACTCGCCACTCAGGAGTACATGGAGCGAGTGGGGTTAGATATGACGACCAAGCGAGCGAAGCAAATCTCGTGGTGTTTCAAGTGCCAGCCACCGTACCCGGTGTGAGGGTGTGGCGCGATGCGGGATAGGTTTGGTTTGGGGTCGTAATCTCCATGTGTGTGTTCGTGGAGGTATCCTAGGGTAACAAATAGTTCAAAGTCGATCGGGTTTTGTGGGAGGGGGGTAGGGGCAGAAAAACTACATGGGAACATGATCCGAAGCGTGTGTCTGTTGGATGTGTTACTATGTTCAGTCTTTTGAGTGGCGTTCTTTTTCTTTGTTTTGTCGGGGGCAGTGTGTGCTGCCAGTTGATTGGAAGGTCGGCGCGAGGAGAGGCCCCGCTGGTAGCCGGCGAACGTGCTGTCCTTTAGATCGCGGGATAGCTTGCGACTTGAAGTGATGTGCGAAGCAGCGGGAGAGACAAGGCGTGTGCACGGCGGCGGCATTAGAATTTCTCGGTCTTCAATGGAATGGGCTCGAGAATACTGCTGTTGCTTACTGTGTCGTTCGTAGAGGGCGACTCGTGTCTTTGCCGTTGGGCACACTTTGTGGGCGCAAAACCTGTTTCCGTATGTGTTGGTTGTCATTTTCTGCGGGCACAAGCGCGTCACCACGAAAGACAGTATTTTATTGGCTTGCGGTTTCGTCCTGCTGTTGGGTATCAGCACGGTAGTAGAAGGGGGAGATGAGGGAATCGGCGGTAATGGCAGTAGCCTCTGCTGACTGCACTGCAATCGCGGGGGGCAGCAGCTGTTGCCTTTGAAGCGTTGTGCTCTTGTTTTGCTTGGTAATTCTATCAACGCCTCCCCATGTTTCGAGTTTAATTGTACCTACATGGTTGCTTCTTCTGTGCATGGCCGTCATGCGGATCTGATTCCAAGTAACAGTCACAATGCCTCCGGCAGTTTTGCGTCTCAAGGCGTATTCTTTTTTTCTTCACAAACAGCTTTTCTCTCAACTCAGCCCGCTGGGGAAATATTGACTTATGCATCAAAGATGTCCTCTTTCTTGAGACGTACCCACCGGACCGTGCTTTTTCTCTCTCTCGTGCAAGGGTGTGCGGCACAACTTGTCCCGCACACCTAGGTACCCCTCCCCCCCCGGGAGGGCCAAATGTAAGAATACATTTTTTTTTCCCCTCATTTTTTCTCTTGCTTTTGTTGCCCGTATCCTCAACTTTGGTACGCAATAGTGTTGTGTTTGACTGTTCGCTGTACTGACACTACAGCTGAAAGAAATGCGTTGGTGTTGGTAGAGAAGCTGTACACGACAAAGTTCCACATCATAGACTAGACTACGCTACACACTCTATCCTCGAATGGTCAAAGTTCATTGAACTCAACACCCGGAAAAGCATGACGCCTCTGCGCGCGTGAACAAAGAACCAAACAAAATGATCGACGGACACCGCGGAACATAGTAGGAGTTTCCAACCATCTATGCACAGCAGTGTTCGCAACAACTCCGAACACCGCCGTTTCGGAGTAAGTGAGTCTACGCCGCCGGGAGCGTACATCTGTCTCCTTTTCTTTTGCCTCCTGATTGTCCTGCTCCTCCTCCTCCTGCTCCTCCTGCTCCTGCTCCTCCTGCTCCTCCTCCTCCTCCTCTTCCTCCTCCCCCTGCCCCCCTCCCTCTTCCTCGCTGGACTCTCTCACTCCCTCTTGTTCACTGACCCCTCCCTCTTCGCTGGACTCCGAACCTACTGTTACTGCCCATGCGGGCCGAGAACGTTTTTGACCAGTCTTGCGCCGTGCACCAGCGACAGACGTCCTGGCCACCGGACCCTTCTTCAGCTTTGCCATCACGTGGGATTTCTCTTTGCTCGCGTACGTCGTAGCTGGCTTTAAATCTCACAGTATCGGGATCCATCCTACTCTCTCATGGGCGATTCCTTGCCGTGGTGATCCTGTACGTGGTAGGGTATGGAGTTCTTCCACACCAGAACCACCCAACGCTCGGGAAGGCCAAAAATGCACTTCAGCGGCACGTTAGCGCATGGTGTGGCGATGGAGCCTTTACCCGCCGTCTTCAGGCCTATTCCAACGGCAGAACTTCGCGAATCCGTCTTTAGCGCGAGAGTAGAGATGGGACCGCCCCGGTGGTCTTGTGGTATCCTCGTAATCCGCTAGTCGCAGAGGTCGTGAGTTCGAATTCCCATGGTGGGGTGAAAAATTTAAGAAATTTGCGGGTTGTTGTTGTTGTTGTTGCCTTCACATTAAACCGTATGTCAGTTGCTAAATGCCAAAATCTAG